GGTCTCACAGAGTATTTCATATCCCTAGAAGAGAGTGAATTAGATTCAGATACGAACTAAACGTATCTCCTTAATAAAGCAAAGTTTACGTTGCGTTGAATATTAATGCTCAGTATGGTTCTACTCCATTCTTATATCGCTTTCATTTGTTCGATGCTTCTTAATTTGTTTTCTAGATGGCGGATATCAAGCCTAACCATACCGTTTATATCAACAATCTCAATGAGAAAGTGAAGAAAGATGGTCAGTTCATTCTCTTGTGATGTTAATTGTTCCGATCCTCTAGAACTCAAGAAAGCTCTTCATGCTATCTTCACACAATTTGGTGAGATTATAGGAATTATGTGCTTCAAGACATTGAAGATGCGTGGACAAGCTCATGTTATCTTTAAAGAGGTAAAATTACCAAAAATTTTGAATTGTGTGGGCTTTCAGATCTCTTCAGCTTCCAATGCTGTTAGGGCGATGCAAGGATTCCCTTTCTACGATAAACCCATGGTAACGCACTTAACTCGATTGAAATCTTCATTAGAAGTTTATAGCGGATTCAATTCGCCTTGAAAGATTCAGATGCGATCTCCAGAGCCAAAGGAATCATAGTTGAAAGAGCTCCTAAAGTTCCCACAAAGGCTCCTAAGAAGAAAAAAGTTTGAAATAAAAATGTTTCCAATGTTACTCAACAAGTTTAGGCCAAGGGTTCAGGAACGGGAGATGGGCCAGCTCCACCAAACAAAATTCTGTTCTGCACTAACTTACCTGATGACTGTACCACTGATATGTTACAAGTTCTCTTCCAACAGTCAGTCCAGTTCCAAAATTCTCTTGTACCAATCTGATCGTTACAGATTCACTGGTCTTCGGGATATTCGCTTGGTTCCTAACAACTCAGGAATAGCTTTCGTTGAGTTTGAAAACGATGATCTCGCTGCTCCAGCTAGAGCTGCACTCAACAACTTCAAGATTTCTCCAGAACATCATATGCGAGTTGATTACGCTAAGAAGTGATCTTGATTACCGTTGTTTCTGTTTTTCATGTTATGTTATTTCCTATATGATTGCTTACAGTCAGTCAATGATGATCCTCAATCCCAACAAAATTCCCGTTCGGTAATAAATATTCACGAACTAATATTCAAATTATATTTCTGTTCGAATCATTACTATCTTCAAGATGATATTACAATCAGTTTTCAACTTCCTGTTTATGGAATGAATTTTTTTAAATCTGCTATTTCCATATCTTCCCAAGTGGTGAATCCCAAGTGAGTTTGTCCTTTAACGTTCAACATAGAAATCCGTCAGTAGGTATCTGTTCAAGGACAGTTTGAGAAGATGTGGGAAACTGAGAGGAGATTGTGACAAAGCAATAAGTTGTTGGAACTGTAAAGAAGCTGTGGATTGCACAAAGTATTTCTTTTGTAACAAATGTGAGATAACATCTGGGAGTCAAATTAATATTGAACTTTGCAGGTGATCATATTCAGCCAACATCAGAGCAAAATCTTTTCGAGTACATGGGGTTCAAACCCATATATGAACTGGACGATGAAGCTTTGAAAAGGAGGTTGAATGTTCTTGCTTATCCGAGTATGATCAATTTTACAGATTTCGAGATTTACAGTTCAAGCTACA